GTGTGTGTGTGTGTGTGTGTGTGTGTGTGTGTGTTAATGGTGAGTGAACTCAGAGTATTTGAACTGTGCAATATTCCCCACCCTTTAAAAATAAGTGCTTGCCTGGCAAGCATAAGGGCCTGACTTCGTTCAATCCAAAAAAAAAAAAAAAAAAAAAAGAACAGAAACATGAATCAAGACCTTCAGGCTGCCCGTGTAAGCAGGGAGGGAATTTCTGCCCTCCTGGGCATGCAGAAGGAAGCTCCTGGTCTTTTCAGCTTAAGACTCTTCAAAGATAATATTTTAGGTCAGGGACTTAGCTCAGCAGCATAAGCACCTGCCTGGCAAGTGTAAGATCCCAAGTTTGATCCCTAGTACCGCAAAAAAAAAAAAAAAAAAAAAAAAAGAAATAATATTAATAGTTTTATTTCTAAAAGGCCAACACAACAGATCCAGGTCTAGGGAAAAATAGCTGGTCAGAGTCACCTGTTCTTTGGGAGGCTGCCCTCTCCTAGACCCCAGCCAAGGAACACAGGATGGTAGCAGAAGGGTCCAAGAAGGCTCTGTGAAGGAAATAACTGACCCAGGCCTCACCTGGGGAGCTGGCCAAGCAAAGAGGCAATGCTGGGCAGGAGAGGGGAAGGGCATCCACAGAACAGGAGCGAGCAGAAACAAAGGCAGAGAATCACAAGCCATAGGGTGCTGCCAAAACAGAAAACTCACATTGCACAGAGGAAGGACAGTGAGCAAAGAGGTAACCCCAGGCTGCTAAATTATAGACCTATCATGCTAAGGAATCTAGATTCTATTTATCCAGAGGGCAATAAGAAGCTACTAAAGGATTTTATGAAAAGCTTCGATAAGATCAAATCCTTGTATTAAGATCACTGTGATAACAAACTAAGAGGCTGAGCTGCTGGCAGTAAGATTGGAGGCTAGTAACGCAGGCAAGAAACACGCCTGGGGTGAGATGGCTCAGTGGTCTAAAGCACCTACTTAGAACAAGCTAAGCAAAAGCACAGGGACCACAGTTCAATCCCCAGCACCACATGCCAGCCAGCCCCGCCCCCTGGTGGGCTTAACTGGCCACACACAAAATAAATAAATTAATAAATATTAAAAAAAAAAAAAAAGAAAAAGAAACACGCCTGGGTCCAGGCTGACCCACCCTCCAAGGTTCCTCTACTGAAACTCCCAACAGGGACAACTTTCCATTCTTTGGGCATTGCCAAGGACAGAGGCCTGCTTTAATGGCTATTAATTTTGTGCAGCCTCCCACACATTTCTTCAATGATTAAACACTAGGTGGGAAACCAATGTTTATCTTACATACCAAGTACTAAACTGACTCCATGTCAGGCCCTATGCCAGATACTTAACACAAATAATCTCTCAGTTATGCAACCAACAACCTTATCAAGGATTTTACTAACTTTAATCTCGTTTTGCAGAGAAAACTCGAGTCCAGGGCAGGCAGTTTATCAAAGGTCATTCAAACACAGAAGGCAGAAGAAAGTTTTGAGCAGCGTTCTACTTGAAGGCACAGACTGCTGTTACTACTGCAAAAAATAATGGAGAGGTGCTTCTCCAAAGGAAGACTGCCTTCCTGTGGGAAAATGTGTACCCCTAGTCGCAACTGGCGAACAGGCGAGAGGTGGGGAGCCCGAGCCCACATAAAGGAAATCAGCCTGCCCTAGACAACCCCCAGTTACAAAAGGGCATGGCCTCGAGAATCCCAGAGGACAAAGCAGGGAAAGGACCCGGTCCCAGCGCAGACCGGGCAAGGGGCGGGGCTCGGGCGGGACAGCGCAGGGGCGGGGCTCTCCGCACCGCTTCCATTCTGGGACCTGCCGGACCCCACGAAGGGGCGGAGCGGCGAGGTGGGCGGGGTAGGGCTGCGCTCGCGACCTATAGACTGGTCAGGTCACCTCCCCAGGACTGGACTCGACGCTCGTTCCATACTCTGGCTCCAGGAGGGCTGATCCGGGAACTCGATGGTGTAGTCCAGCTCAGCCCGGGCCATGGCGAAAGGGCGACCCTCCGCACCGGCCTAGCACCGGAACTCCCGTCCGCGATCCAGAGCCGCTGCCCGGCCCATCCTGGGCACCGCCCCTCCCCACCCTCTTCCCGCACTGCCCAATCCCAGAACCGCGCTCTGTGACCTCCTCCCTAGCAACTACGGAGTCTTTCTGAACCTTTCGCTGCGCCTTACTAGTTCTGCCATGGCAACCATGTCCCGCCTTCCTCTTGATCCGGACCAGGTATTGGCCAGCGGGGACGCCGGTCAGGGAGAGTCGCCCACCCCTCTGTGTAGAGTCCACGGGAGGGTCTCTACTGACTGCCGCGTCTTAACCTACCCAGCAGAAGACGGTGCCTTTTGACTTGCCTCAACTAGCTACCTCTGCCATCCTCTACCAGCCACAGCTCCGAGGGCTGGAGGTAGAAAACCGTACAAAACGGCCTCGGCCTGCGCGTGCCGACCGGTCCGGGGGGCGAGGCGTACTCCTGCTGCCTGAGGGGGTACGAATGGGAGACGGTCTCACTGGGATGTTGCAGAATACCCGGTGTGTGGAGGAGGCACCAAGGGATTGGAAGTTCAGCTTCCTTGCGTTTATCCGCCGATCTAACAGATACTTAATGAACGCCTACTCTGTGCCACAAATGGGCTGAGGTTCCTTGGGCTCTTGGGAGGATCAAGTTTTTGGCCCTGACTATAAATCTTATCTGGGTATAGAGAAAAATCATAGAACCGAGTTAATTCTATGCGGGGAATAAGTAGTATAGAAGATCCAGAGCTCAAAAATCTAGGGCCGGCCAAATAGCTCAGCAGATTAAAGCGCCTGCAAGCAGGGGCCGGGGGTTCAATCCTGGAGCCTGCAGTGCCGACCCCGCCACCACGAGTCCATTCTAGTAGTGAGACCCTGAGTACCCTATAGACACTTCCCTAAAATACAAACAAACAAACAAAAAGCATTGTATTGGGGATGATTCTTGAGCTGGGCCTTCAAAGACTTGGAGACTTTAAAAAAGGACTCCTTAGAGACACCCAAAGAAGGGAAAGTCAGGGGTGAGCACCAGAAATTACATGAAGGGTCTCTGGCCAGGCCAAAGACTAATGTGAGAGAAACCTTGAAAAAGTAAATCCACATCCTGCAGAATCTTTGATGTTAAGCCTCGGCCTTGAATTTGCTGATGGGAGGGGGAAAAATCCAGTTAATTTTACACCTCTTAACATAAGTTCCTAGATTTATTGTGAGCCAGTAGGGAGTTATCAGGCTTTAAACAGGTGAGTAAAGATCAGACATACATTTTGGAATATGATAGGAAAAATAAAGAATGATTTTTAGTTTTCTGGACAGCAGCAAGGCCTTTAGGTGTCTGTTCTGGGCATTGTGAATGTGAGGTGCCTATAGAACATCCAGTTGGAGTTCTCAAGGAGGCAGCTGAGTATGCCTGATTAGAGGTGAGTCTAAGATGAGTCTAAGCTGGAAGTAGAAATGTGGGGATCTGTAGGGCCTGTGGGTGGCAGCCACACCAGTGTATTTGTTGGGCTTGTCCGGAGGATATGTGTAAAAAAGAGGCAAGAGCCTAGGGCAGAGTGCTGAGAAGTACCCAATCTTGAGAGTCTGGCAAAGCAAGGTAAGCCTGAACAGGCATTTGAAATGAAGGGTCCAAGATGGTAAGAAGATAACCCTTGAGAGCCTCGTGGTGTCTTAGAAGCCAGGGGAGGAAAGTGTTGAAGAAAGTGTTGATGTTAATCAAGTAAAATAAGTTGTAAAAGAAGCCATTGGATTTATTTTTTTTTTAAATTTTATTTATTTATGTGGGGGGGGGGCAGCTCAGCCCACCATGGGGCGGGGCTGGCTGGCATGTGGTGCTGGGGATTGAACCGCGGTCCCTGTGCTTTGCTGAGCTTGTTCTAAGTAGGTGCTTTAGACCACTGAGCCATCTCACCAGCCCCAGCCATTGGATTTAGAAACAAGGAAGTTGGTAACCTTTGCAAGTCAGTTTCAGTGCACTAATGGGAGCAGAGGTACAATTACAGTGGCTTGAAAGGTAAATAGGAAGATAAGGAAATGAAGATTATGTGTGAAATACTCTAAGTTTAGACTCAGGCTATAGTTCAGTCCAAGTAGAGCACTTGCCTAGTGTGCAAAGAAGTTTGCCAGTTTAAGAGAAGAAAAAGAAAGCAATAGCTGGAAAGAAGGGTGAATTTTTGTTCAGGTGGGAAGAGATACTGTTGGCACTGATTGAGCAAAAAGGAAAAAGATTAAATTATATTTGTAGGGTTTTTTGTTTTTGTTTTTGTTTTGTATTTTTGGCAGAACTGGGGATTAAACTCAGGCCCTTGCACTTGCCAGGTAAGCACTTATTCCACTGAGCCATCTCCCTGGCAGATTAATTTATAGAAAAAAATAAGATGACTGGGAGAATGGCGTCCTGAAAAATAAAAAAAGGCAGGAGATCCAGAGCATTGATGAAATTCACTTAAAGATGGAGGCGCATTTGTTTGTGGCTAAAGGAAAGCATATGTGTTGGCATTATTACTTCCATTGGTTTGATAATAAGAAGTTGTGGGAATTTCTTTATAATGGTTTCTACTTTCTCTGAGAGAGACATATCAGCCAGTGATGAAGGGATTGGAAATGCTGTATGAGGTTGAAAAGAGTAGAGGAAAAAAAGAAAAAGGAAAGAGCAGAGAAAAATCCAGGCAAGATGGTGCACACCTGTAATCCCAGCACTAGGGAAGCTGAGGCAGGAGGATAGTGGTGAGTTTGAGGCCAACCTGTGCTACATAGCAAAACCCTGTCTCAAAAAGCAAAAAAAAAAAAGATGAGCTTGATACCAGCCTGGGCAACATAGCAAGACCCTTTCCCACCCCACCCCCCAAAAAAATGGAGAGAAAGATTAGAATAGTATAACAGCAACGGAGTGTGAGAATGACATGACTAAAGAGGCATACAAATTTTTGGGTAGTTGTAATAAGAAACTACTGGATTACACTAGCTTGTCTTTTAACCCTGAGGTCCTCCTAACCCTGAGCGTAGACGGCCTCCACTAGGGGGTGCTATGCAGAAATGGCGCTCCAAAGTGGAGCCAGCTCTGGGCACAGGCTAGAAGCGGATAGGCAGAGAAATGAAAAAAAAAAAAAAAAAAAAAGGATGAAACAGACCTGATGAGAAACGAGGACTATAAAGGGCGGAGTAAGAAGTCTGGAATGGGAAAGAGGAGGAAAAAGTAAGCCAAAGAAAGTGAGGATAGGGTGGGCCGACTGTGGTTGACCCAGAGCACGTGGAAAGGTAGAGTTTCGTTAGGTCTGGGAGTGGCATACGGGCAGAAGTGAATATGGGGAAAGAAAATCTGGGACGAGACAGAGGCAGAGACTTACACAGAAAGGAGATAAGGAAAAGCAGTCTATTGGGAGAGATAGGGGCAGTGGAATCCTTAGGGGAGTGATGGGTAGAGGCAAGGTCTGCGGAGAGTGTGCGTAGGGACAGGGATCGGTGGTCAAGTAGAGAGGGAGTGCATGTGCCCCTGCAGTAAAGGGAAGACTAGGATACTGTGGGTTGGGCTCGAAGTTTAAGGAAAAATATGTCTACACTTCTGTGCTGCATGTTTAAAAAAAAAAAAAAAAGGACCATATATATGGCATGGTCCTATACAATTGCAAATGAACTGAACATTTCTTATCGTCTGTCAAATACATAACTGAAGAAAAAGCAAGAGAAAAGAAAACTACACAAGACAAAGAAGACTCGCAAGAAAATTCACAGAGATGGGTTTAGCAAAAGCTTTTGCAAACCTCAATTAACTCCTTTAAAAGTTGAGAAAAAGGTGCTCGCTTCAGCAGCACATATACTAAAATTGGAACGATACAGAGAAGATTAGCACGGCCCCTGCGCCAGGGTGCCACGCAGATTCGTGAAGCGTTCCATATTTTTGTTTGTAAATAGAATATCATGTCTGCATCTTGTACAACAAATAACCACTAGGAAGGCAGTATGCAATGTGTTAATTATTGAAACTGTCCTACCAATTTGATTTGAAACTGTCTCATTGCTATTTGTTTCTCAATAAAATTATGGAAAATAAATAAATAAATAAACACTTTATAAATGTGTGACCCTAAAAAAAAAATAATAAAATCAATGTTATTTATCATAAAAAAGTTGGAAAAAATATTTTAAAGTTATAAAAAGCTGGTATGGTAGTACACACCTGTAATCCCAGCACTCAGGAAGCTGAGACAGAAGGATTGTTGTAAATTTTAAGCCAGCCTGGTCTACTTAATGAGTTCGAGGCCAGCTGAACTCCATAGTGAGATTCTGTCTCCAAAATAAAATAGTTGAAAACAAGCCAGGAACAGTGGCACAGTCCTATAGTCCCAGCACTCAGGAGGCTGAAGCAAAAGGATCACAAGTTCAAGGCCAGCCTGGGCAACTTAGTGAGACTGTTTCAAAATAAAAAATAAACAGCTGGGAATGTAGCTTAGTTGTAGTGCACCCCTGGGTTCAATCCCCAGTGCTACACAAGTTGAAAACATGGACCTAGGGGGATAGCTCAGGGGTAGAGTGCTCTCCTAGCTTATGCAAGACACTGGGTTCAATCTCCAGTGCCATCAAAAAATATTTTCATAAAGAGGGATGTGTGTAGTGCATTAGCTTCTTCCAAACAAACTGATAAATAAAAAAAGAAAAGAAGAGCACAAGAAGAAAACAGAAGTTGGGCATGGTAGGCCATGCCTATAATTCTAGCCCCTCCCGAAGCTGAAGATCACAAGTTCGAGGCCACCCTGGACAAGTAATTGTGACCCTGCTTGAACAAAATAAGCAAACCCCAATGGACTCTGCAAAGAATACACCTGCTTCAGAAGAGGTTCAGACAGGTCCTAAGGAAGGACTCCAGAGGTGTTGCTGCCATAGGAAGTGCCATATACACTACTGCCCTGAAAATCTTCATGCCACAAGATGTGGAGGTGATGATCCTGACTGGATTAGGGCTAGGCTACACACATCTTAGATTTTAACAAAAAAGTTTGAAAAGTTAAAACAAATTATAATTTATAATTAAAAATAATTATAGAAGGGCCTGGCCAAATAGCTCAGCAGATTAAAGCACCTGAAAGCAGGTGCAGGGGCCAGGGGTTCAATCCCTGGGCCTGCTATGCTGGCCCA